GGCCCATCAGTTGAACCTGCCGTGAATGTCGTTTCCGGAAACAGCCAATCTGGATCCTCTGAGACGAAGACCACCACGACCACAACTAAGTCTGGCTCTTCAGCAAAGCCTGCCGTTAAAGTCGTTTCCGGAAACAGCCAATCTGGGTCCTCTGAAACGAAGATTACGACGACCACTACTAAGTCTGGCTCTTCAGCGAAGCCTGCCGTGAATGTCGTTTCCGGAAACAGCCAATCTGGATCCTCGACAACGACTACCACAATCACTGTCACTAAGAAAACTAGCCCATCAGTTGAGCCTGCCGTTAAAGTCGTTTCCGGAAACAGCCAATCTGGATCCTCTGAAACGAAGACTACGACGACCACTACTAAGTCTGGCTCTTCAGCAAAACCTGCCGTGAAAGTCGTTTCCGGAAAAAGTCAGTCTGGGTCCTCTGAGACGAAGACCACCACGACCACTACCACCAAGAAMACTGTTTCATCAGTTGAGCCTGCCGTAAAAGTCGTTTCCGGAAACAGCCAATCTGGATCCTCTGAGACGAAGACCACCACTACTACTACTAATTCTGGCTCGTCAGCAAAGCCTGCCGTGAAAGTGATTTCTGGAAACAGCCAGTCTGGATACTCTTCTACAACGATTACTACGACTACTAAAAAAACTGGCACATTAGTTGATCCCGTCGTGAAAGTGATTTTAGGAGAGACTACCTCCGGAAACATTAAGTCTGGCTCCYTTTCAACGTCGAAAACAACAACAACTAAGAAAACTACCGCATCAGTCGAGCCCGTTGTAACGGTAATTTCCAGAGACACCAATATCGAAAATAGTCAATCTGGATCTACTACAAAAGTTAATGATGACGCCCGAAGTAAGACAGATGTGTTTGGGTCTAGTTTAATAGATACCCAGCCAGTTTTACCAGGACTTATTGGTAAAGTTATTGAAAGGGGTCAAAGATCCGTTGAATCAGGAAGAGCTCATATTAAAGCTGGAAAGTTCGCGGTGCGAGGTGGCCCACGTTACGGTATTGGACAATATCCTTACTGGTGGGGAACACAGGATCAATGGATAGGAGCCAGACCGGCATGGGGTTATTATGGAAATGGATGGGGCGCCAATGTTTGGAATGGTCAATATGTTAACTAACATTTTTTGTCCTTCTTAAATCAAATGTTGAAAGCTCTGTTATTCTAAACTTATCAAAAATATATATACATATGTGCAAATCAATATAATAACGCTCTTTTTAATTAAAGGCAATTTAGTAAAAATGCTCGATATATATTTAAAAAAAAAAAAAAAAAAAAAAACACGCTATGTTAAATCAATAAATTTAAATCATGTGCAAATTTAACGCAGACAATATTAGCTCAACTGTTATTTGGATTTTATATTCTGCTAATTATTATTAGAAGAAAAATATACGGAAGCACATTTGTTTAAATATTTGTTTATATATATATAGTCAGTACAATGAAATTCTCAGTTTAAATTTATTTCTTTAATTAAATACAGCTCAGAATATGATTTGCCTTAGGTTAATGTTCTTCGCCCAACATTAAATTGTTAACATAGAAATAGCGCATTCAATTTTAATCGAGTAACAGTGTTTTTTTTTTTTTTTTTCTTTTATATGTCAATACTGTCTATTAGCTTTTTATGATCAACAGAACGTTGTAATTTATTATAGCTAAAAATGTACCAGAATAAGGCTAGTATGGCAACACTGGCGGTCAATATGATATTCATCAGATGTTCGCCGTATGTCGTGACAAGCTGACTTATTAAAAATGCCTAAAAAACACCAAATAAGCAAGAAGAAGCACAACGTGCGCATCTGACAAGTTCGTAGTTGGTGTAAATAAAAAATCGAACAGACTATCCTGGCTTTTACGTTTCTAACAACAAAACAAAAAACCAAAAAAAAAAAAAGAATAATAATTTGTGCAAATAGTTTTATAAACTATGAAATTGGTGTTCTTCCCTGGAGTGCAGTGTATGTAATTATACAACTGGGCGAAGCGACGTATTTTATTAATCGTCTCTGCAACAGTGCAAGAGACAAAGGCGATTGTGAGCAAACACTACACATACGCACTTACATACACACACAATCAAATGAAAATCACAAAATTTTCACCATTTACTCAGGCTATGTATATGATTTCATAGTTGTGCGTATAAATATAATAGTAAATCAACTTTTTTGAGAGCAGCAGTCACAACCATAACAACAATAACAAAAATAAATAATATAAACAAAAAGAAAGTAGAGAATTAAACAAGTGCGTGCATCAAAAGCAAGGGAATCCTTTGCCACACGGACAAAGAACTTGCTGTGAAAGTGTTGCCCTATACCTAGATATTCATATATATGTATAAATATATATGTTTATATTAAGTGCGCACCCAAAAACGTGAAGAGTGAAAAAAAACAAGAATTGTGCCATAAAAAGTTCAACGCAAGTTCACGAG